GGCAAAAATACAAATGATGCATAAGAGGGAGCAGAACCCCCACCAGCAGTCAGTGGTTGAATTGAATTGAATTGATTAAAACGAAAGCCAATATGTTATTGAAATTGTACAGTATAACCTAAGGGAAAAACTCTCAATCTGTAGATAGCATGAAAAATAAATACCTAGCATCTAAACAGTCCTTAGGAAAATATCAAAACAAAACAACTTGGTACGATGAGATGTAGTTAATCGGCACTTATGGTGCTGGGTACCACAAATACAAAGTAACACTAGATCAGGGCCTTGAGTACCCTTTTTTTTCTGTTACGGAATATAGATTAACAGGAGAAGATGTATTAAAAGAAATAGAAAAGAAAATGTGAACGTTTTTTTAGGTGGAGGGATGGAATGTAGTGTTTAATGTTGATGCCACAGAGAATGATAAAAGGGCTTGGCTGGCTAAAACTCCCTTGTGTAGTCTCTAACATTTTAAGAGCTGTAAGGTGTAACTGTAAAACTTATTTTTCCTAATATACACACTGAATATTATATCTTCCAAATAGTAAAGTGTCACACTTCTACAGTGACACAGCTTTTATTCAGCATTTTTACAACTCTAGCTTTTAATTTCCCACTTGAATCTACATTCATTTAAAAAAGATGTTCCCTGTTGACCATTTTTCCATTTTTAGAATGTGGTTGACTTGAGGAGGAAAATTTACTTAAAATAATTAGGGTGCGGGGCAGTGGGTAGGGAGGGAAAACAACGAGGAGCTGATGCCAAGGGCTCAAGTAGAAAGCAGGTGTTTTGAGAATGATGAGGACAACATATATACGAATGGGCTGGACACAATTGATGTATGTATGGATTGTGATAAGAGTTGTATGAGCCCCTAATAAAATGATTTTAAAAAAAAGAAAAAATAATACAGTGGTGAAAAGGGATAGTTTTGTTCATTTAAAGTACAGAAGTGAAACGTAATGGCTAACTTTTATGACTAAGAAAGACATCCCCAAATATGATTGTAAATCTCATCCCTGCTTTAAGTAGCTAGTAAAGGAAAAACTGAATTTGATAAAAGTCTTGATATTTATGGTTTTAAATAATCTATTTTGTGGTCACACTTTAAATCAAGCAATAATGTTGTTCTCATATTTTGGCAATACAAATTTTACCTATCACCATCAAAAGGTGCCCTGGTGGAGCTGTCAGGTAAGCATTGGACTGCTAATGCAAGCCTCAATAGTTCAGCCCTACCAGCTGCTCTGTGGAGTCAAGAGAAGGCTGTCTCCTGTAAAGACTTACAACCTCAGAAAGCCTATGTAGGGTCGCTGTGAGTAGGAATCGACTGACTGGCCGTGTACTTGATTTTTAGATTACTTACCACTGACTTAACCATAAATTAAACGTGTGCCATGATATCAGTGGTTGAAACACAAACCACTTTGAAATGTGACAAATGCAGCAATAGTTCTGGTATTAAAAATTGTGTTTATGTTTATGTAACCTGCTTAGTACTGAAGCCCTTTACTGAGATCTTCCAAGGGGGAGTGCCAGCATTATTTACACTCAACATCTACAACCTGAGCCATCAGATTTTTTAAGGGCTGTATGTGAACTGATACTGTAATTTTTTTTAGCATTTTAAAAAAGCTAACAAAAGTTTTTTTTTTGTTTTTTTACAGAAGTATTTTTATGTACTAATTGTTGTAATGAAATCTAAGCCATGAAAAGCTGGTGACATCTACTAGGCTTAAAATTAATGGCATTATTTTTTATAACAGCGGTTCTCAACCTGTGGGTCATGACCCCTTTGGGGGTCGAACGATCCTGTCACAGGAGTCTCCTGATTCATAACAGTAGTAAAATTACAGTTATGAAGTAGCAACGAAAATAATTTCATGGTGGGGGTCACCACAACATGACGAACTGTATTAAAGGGTTGTGGCATTAGGAAGGTTGATAACCACTGCCTTATAACAATTGTGTGGTAAGGAAATAAAACACTAATTTCATGTTTATTGAGTTTAAATTATACATTTTTTAAATCGTCATGAAAAATGAACAGCTTTGCATATTTGAGGAAAAATAAAATGGAAACAAAACCAAAACTACTTACCACCAACAGACCCCAAACTTTCAAGTTAACTGTTGCTTCTTTCAGACAAAGGTTTTCTAATCATAGTACATTGATTGGGCTCTGCTTTTTTTTTTTTAATCATTTCGTTGGGGGCTCATACAACTCTTATCACAATCCATACATACGTCAATTGTGTAAAGCACATTTGTACATTCATT